TCGCCTCATGGCGCGTTGCGCTTAAATGTGCATGCGGCGTCTTCAGCGCCGGCAACAGTGTCGATGCGCGTCCCTTCCAGAAATTTTCTTTGGCGTGAGAAAACGAAGCTTCTAGAAGTTTCGAAGGCGTCCCTTTTTTGTGAGTGCTGGCAGTAAATTATATTTGAAATCGTAAAATTGCTCGGACTTGCCGAGTTTTGTTTGTAAACATTTTCTCGAGTGCCCGCCTCGGTCCGCACGTGCGGATCAGCCTAGGCGCACGTGGTGGCCAGCCTTGCTGCACGCGCGGTCAGTCTAGGCGCACATGCGGTACGCCGGACTGCGTAAATGACCTTTCTTTTGTTTGAAATTCATGAGACTGCTTCAATCCCGAACAAATACAAAATAATATCATATATAAACTCATGATGACAATTAATTATTTTCTTATATTATTTCTTATTATCGAAATAATAAATAATCATTGCTGCACATATTAAAAAATGTACATATCTATTTGAAATACTGAAGAAACACATAAAAACTACTGTGTAAAAATAGCCGAATTAAACGTATATGTTTTTAAATACATTGATATATGTATGATCCATTGATAAACTTATTTTTAAACATTAAATAATATAAAATCACTGTACAAAATGTATTCGCCGTTCTGGCTTGTTTTATCAAGGCCGGTTCGAAGGATACAGATGGATGCCGTTGACAACTCGGAGACCACGGATGTTGTGTGATAGGGATGAAAGGTCAAAGTAGAAGGGATATTATAATAATTCAATGTAAATATATCTGGTGGTTATGCTGCTTATTCTGTTATTTATTGTTGACAAGGTTGACTAGTATTACTATTATTAATTATTGAAATAACTCTTGTGGTGGATGATTGTGTTTGCTGTGGCAAACGTATACTCATCTAATGCATCGTGATGTTTCGAATGTGAGCACAGAAGGGCGCGAAGTTTTATTCGTCGACACTCGCACTGTTCATGTGAGCACGTGTGTGGTTGAGGTTATGGATGCTATGTAGCGTGAAACATTGAACTGGTGTTACGAGAGAAGATATAGTCGTATCGTAGCAAGCGTACCTTGTCCTCCTATTGGCGTACTGTAATAAATTCAGATGGAGGTAAGAGTTTGAAGGGCTTTTACCTCATGAAGGATACTGCTACTTGTTGTGTTTTCTGCGAGCGTTGAATAGCACGCTGTTGATTTATAAGAGTCAGACTTTTCACTAAGATGAGGATAAAGGCCGGCAAGTCCCCCATTAGATGATGCGATCTTGACGACGAACTTAGAAGTATTCCGCACTGTCTCTCTGGTGAGAGCCTCTTCTTCGTGGTTTAATTGTCGAAGAAGTATTTTGAATCTTAAGTATATGTAATTATTGTAGTAATAATATTACTTACGAAGACTAATCGTTGACTCGTCTCCGGACTCTGATATGCGCATTGTCGTCACTCCCTTTGAACATGTAACGACGGTTTCTTGAACTGCGTTAGTAGACATACGAGTTTATCTCGTCGTTCTTCTGGGACGTGTAACTACTGTTGCTTTGAACGGCGTTAATGGACAATCCGATAAGTGGAAGTCGTCGCTCCTTTTGAACATGTAACGACGGTTGCTTGAACTGCGTTAATGAACATACGGTGTATGTCGTCATTCATCCAGGACTTGTAACTGCTGTTCCCGTAAAAGCGTTAATGGACTTTCACTAGACACTTAACTGAATATAAACTGCATCAAGAGTATACTATATCGAGAGTTATCTCGAGATGTATATCAAGAGAGTGATGAATGTTAAAAAATGCGCCCCTTAAATACATTTGCTGACCATGAACTTCACTTGAACCCCTTCCCTTATTCTTCGTCCAATCAGAGACTCCTCCCTTACAGAGCGCGGACAGCGCCTCTTGTGGCTTCATAGTTAAGTAAGGGCCTAGTCGTCTCTTGGTCTTCATGGCAAGAAGAGCTCTCGTTGCTGCTAACGCATCTGACGACAACATGACAAATTGTAGACAGCGCGAGAGGGGGGGGCAGGTCCTCGTTGGTCGACATAATGCCTGAAGTAATTACCGAGCGGAGCGAATTCGTACATATGCCTAACTGAGTGGGGTTTTCCGTGTTTATTGTATTGTTTTTCTAGATGTTTTATGACACTATTGCTAGATAGCAAGAAAGTTTTCAAATCTAAACACAAATTTTACGATGTTATTTTGCGAGATGTTATATTGCATTGAAAAAAGGTATCGCAATCTCGAACAATCACTAAATCGATTATTACATACTGTTACGGATTACAGTAGTTTTAAGCGGAATATAAAGTAGGAGAGGTAAAGACACCTGTGCTCAGTTAGAAACACCTGCGCCCCTAGTCATAAACACAATTCTGTGAAATCGGAAAGCTTCACTACGCAGAATATTCGAATACTACATTATAATTCCGACGAACTCCCTAAGGCTAAACTCTAGTGACGTCACTCTAACGATCGGCATGGCAAGAGTGAACCGGTAGTCATCGGATCCGCAAACTTGCACTAGGATATTTAAGGAGCTGCGCTTGAGGCTCTCGTCCTCTTACTAGTTCAATTAAGCACTCTTCTCGACAGGCTCGCCATTTACCTACAATCGCCATCACACGTAAGCTACGCCACTTTGCTCGTTCTTACGACTACTACTACAACAGCCCCTGTCAACTACGTAAGCAGCAACATACCACGAACGTGTATCAATACCACAATGACATCTGATCTCACAAACACTTACGCAGCAACGCATCACGAACATCACTCACCACTATATGTATAAGAGCGGTCTTCACGCTCACGTAAGTACCGCACACTATCGACATTGCGTTACATCGATACGAGTGAATCTCCCACTTACTCAAGCAGTGACGTAACACGGACATCCTCCTACCACTCCGACCACTATAGCGCTCACCCTACGCCGGTGGCTAAGGCGGCACCAACTCGCTGCCCCTACCAGCACGAGTCTCCCACTACAGCTACTCAACGAATAAGGAGAAGGCGAAGCACGCTCCAGGCTACCAAGAATACACTTACAGACTTATCGCCACTAACATTAATTGAAGAAACACTCATCTATTTATTCTCTCACACATTCATTTCGACATCCATAGATCGTTGACTATTTATTATATTTATTATATTTAATAAAAGGAAAGAAAATAAACATTAAAGACAGTATTGAATAATTGCATTGCCCATTCCACTTACCAGCAAGCCTCCACCCTCCAGCAACAAGAGGTTTTAAGTCTGATCCCAGACATATACTAATTGATAAGTAGTATTCGATTTTATATATAATATTAAATATTAAATTCTATCGAAAAATTAATATTAATTTATTTAAAAATAAATTTAAAACTAAAATCAATTATATATGGTTACAACTGTTATTCTACGCACATAATAACTAAAAAGGCGGGTGTAATTTGAGTAGGATTATTATAATTTGCATATTTATAAACAATTTGAGACATATGAGAATATATAATGTTAAGTTTTAAAAATATGAAAATTAAATTGAACAAAGTATAAAACAAATTATATATGTATATGTTATGTATTATATAATATGTAATTATATAATATATGTATTATTTTAACTTTAAATAGATTATTCAACAAATATAAATCAAACCTGGTAAATTAAAAAAAATTTAAATATATCTATTTATATTTATATATAGAATTACGATAGAAATTCTATACCATAAGCAATACATAACATTAAATAATATATTATAAATATTTCAGGTTACCGGAGGACTTTGCATTTTTGGTTCATCATGAATGCGCCTGGGGTTGTAGAGGTGCATTCGTACCTTCACGGTATAACAGCTCACGTGCTAAATGTATAAAATGCGCTATCTGTGGTTTGTTCTTTTCTCCAAATAAATTTATCTTTCATTCTCATCAATCCGGAACAAGTGATAAATATATTGAACCAGATGCAGCCAATTTTAATTCTTGGCGCCGGCATATGAAATTATCTGGAAATCCGCCAGATGAAATTATTCATGCTTGGGAAGATGTTAAAGCTATGTTTAATGGTGGAACTCGGAAACGCATTCTTTCTAATTCTAGTAACACTAACCCAAATATATCAGAAAAAAATAGACGAATTTCATCTAGCACACAAGTTAATTCGTTATCTGTACAAAGTTCATTGCCCGAACTAACTTCTGCATTAGCTTCTATATCAGAAATTGAGCAACAGAGAGTAACTCCTTTTTCAGATTTAAGACTACGAATACCTAGTAATAGTGTTATTGATTATATGTGGAATCAGCAACAACAAGCTACTATTACTGGCGATGTTAAAACCCCTGGATTTTCATTCCTATCTTACCTTCCATGGTTGACCAAGAGGAGCTCCGTTATATTTCCTAGTAAATTTGCTATAATAAAATATTGAGTTAATTTTTAATTATAATTTCGATTCATTTCTATTAAATAGCTTATTACTGTTTTCTTTATACAAAATTAATCTGGTACTTAGAGGAATTTCTAATGATACATATCTAATAAAATTTAATAAAATTAACTTTTTAAAATAAATATAATTAAATTTGTACCATTAAACAACACTACATTTTAAAAATTTATTATTAATTTAAAAGTAATAAAATCGTATTGATTTTCCGTATAGCATATATAATAATTGGTTATATAACTAAAAGATTTTAATTCTTAATAGTTAATAAATGTATTTTTATTGTTCCTTATTTCCTTTATAATTTCAGTTAATTATTTTTTGTAATTTTGAAATTAAAAACATTTCTTATAATAAGTAGACAAAGGTTTTTATTAGTAATAATCAAGTTTAATTTAATTCTAAATGCATAAAACATAATATTGCTAATTGAATTTTATATTGGGCTATATTTGGATAATAAACAATGAAAACTGCAAAAAAATTATATTGCAGAAAGTTAGATCATATTATAATTTATTACATATTTTTCATAGTGAATCAATTTAATATTATATAGTACTGTTTTCACATATTTTAATCAAAGTTTCTTACCTAGTTTTGACCATCATAATTTCGAATCAATCAAAAATTATTTACGTTAAAAATTGCTTAAGACTTGTAAGTTGATAAGAAATGTGTCAATTTCTTTGAAAGTTTATTTTTAAATAGTATTCTTATGAAATTAATTACGAGATCATCTAGTTATTAGTAATTAAATTCGTTTAAAAAATTGTTTTTATGAACCTCTAACAATTAATAAATAAAAATTATATAATACTAAATATTAATTTTACATCATTAAATAAATATATCTGAATTTAATAGCTATAAATATATTGTATTTATTTTTCAACTTTGTTGTTGTAGGTAGACCTAATAATATGCAATATTTTTCAATTAGTGAATCATTATAATTCAAAGTCGTTTGAAAATTGAGAGCTTAATGATATCACAATAATAAATAATATTTGTGTCTGTTTAAATTTAGATATTTTGTAAAATATAAAAATGATACTAAACATAGAAAATTCCAATCTCAGGTCATAAAAATAAATCACTGTAAAACAATTGTAAGTTTGAATTTAAGATATTACGAAAATTATCTGCAAAGTACTTAAAATTTTATAGTAATTGGTACTAACTGAACAATAATTATCATATTTACAAAACAAGATTTTGTGCTCCAGACATATGTTGTTAGTTGAATTATTTAAAGCTCGATAGTATTATAAAATCTATAAGTATTTTGAACAAATGTACTTTATTTATAAAACAAATTAATATTGTTACAAGAAATAGTTTTTGTATTATTTATTCTTTATTTTAATTTACTCCTGAATTAATTTTTTCTAATAAAACGACTTTTGAAATGATACTAGTTTTAAAATTAGAAGAAATTTTAATTTATAAAATCTTAAGAATTAGTACCGCATGATTTTGTATCTTAGTATAATATTTAATAAAATTATAAAAAAAATTAAATGTAAAGAACATTCGAGTAAATTTTAAATAAACACCAAAAGAAGTTCATCTTCAAATAAGAATTTTTCTTAATTTATAGTTTTTATGATATTCATAAATGGTTTTAATAATATTATAATTGTATATAATCTTTAAAAGTATTTTAATTACGTTATTGCTTTATATGTTATCAAAATGAATGAAAGATAAGATCAGATAAATTTATTATATACAATCTTATCAACGGAATGAAGAAATGTTTTGATAATACGTTTATATATTTTGTATTAATATATGTTCAGGATTGGAGCAACATCGAAGAATTTAAAAATGGGAAAAGGACAAGCTCTCGGATGCTCATGTTTGTAAACATTGATTCTGCGAATTCGTAAATAGTCTACGCCTTATTTTCTAGTGTCCTACAATATTTCCGCATAGCAAGGTCGATGAAAATTCTCGAACCTTCCAGAGTAGTATCATCCTTCTATACTTCTCGAATATTCTGGAGCTCAATTTTTGACGTCAGCAAGATTTTCGGCCTAGCATTGTAAGCTGTTACATAAATATTTAAGAGCAGCTCGCTACGCACTGGGGCTCACTGTACTTTTACCATTTACTCAGTCACCAATTATTGCTCATTGTACTTTTACCATTTACTCGGTCATCTAATTATTGCTCACTGTAATTTTACCAATCGTTCACTCATTTGTTATTGCTCACAGTATTTTTCAATCGTTCAGCTTTCAGTTATTACTCACACAGACACTAAACTCCACCGCATACTTGGCAATCAGTCTACAATATACACGCGCATAATTCTGCCAGACTCTGCAATAAACAGCTAGTAAGTCCATAGTGAAGTCATAATAATTATAACCACTTAAGTGCGCTAAGTTAGGCAGTCATTCAGTACGCAATGCCTGTAGTTCATAAAGTGCCACTATTCAATTGTTTGTCCGAGCTAATCATCTACGCCCAAGACACGGTTAGCGCGGAGTCTTTGCCAGGAAGGTGGCGCAGTACGCTCTCTTAGTGCAGTCATTACAGAGAACGTTCGTTCACTTCTACAGTCCGCATAAACAATAATCCGTCAAGGGCAGACTGCCGGTCTACAAATAGTCGACTATAAAACTCATGATATCAAGTCCTTTCGCTCTCGAAGGTATATCATTTATCTCTCTTGCGTATAATTAACTCACTAATACTCCCATACTCCCTTTTGAGTACGGTCGATTCTTCATAATAACTACCACAGAGCCATTATACTCCGCCTTTTGAGTATTGTTAATTCTTCCTGCTAAGTACTGCTAACTACCATTATCATCTTCCCATGCTCATTTGATGAGCATGGTTAACTGCTCTTGCTGATCCTTACAACATCCGAATAGAACTCAATAATCAACATCCATTGTTAATCCCTATAACATCAACGACATTGCCACCATTACAATAAAGCAACCTCGCCATTACAATAGAATAATTCTTCGTCTGTCATTAGAAGTAATCAAAGAACTGCAATATTGTAATTGTTAATAAAACAGAATAAACGATGTCTTAAATTAAAGTTACCCATTGTACATATTTTCAGACCTTCCATATGTGTTTTTCCTACGCATCGCTACGGCGATAGACGAATAAACTGAACTATTGAATTAGGCAGTTTGAGCCACAAAATAAACTTCACTTTCGAACAATATTTATAATAAAAAATTTCATTTTCAAGAAATTTTTAGATATACAAAAATATAGAGATGGAGTTTACGGAATGTTTTAATAGTCACAAAAAATTGAAATATATATTCATCTTAGTTCTGGTATACTGAATCATTTATAAAAAATGTAAAACTTCAAATTTTATAGCAAGAATTAGCAGACTATATTTAAAAAAAAACTTTTTCGACAAATTAAAAATCAGAAGAATAAAATAGTACTTTTTTGGTAATGCTTATACGTTTTTACTTGCTAACACTAAATATTAATTTTACAACCAATTATTATTATGAAAGCTATTGATATTGTTTAGAAAAGTATAAAAGTATAAAAAATATAATTTTAAAAGCTTATTCCTTCAACTTTATAAATGTAATTCCTAAACAGTATATAAAAAATATCAGATTATAATTTATAAAAAATTGCACTTTAATTATAAATAATGTTTTGTATTTATTAAATTTTGTGTAACTTTAATATTTTTCAGATCCAACATCACCAATAATTAATAATATTACTTCAACAGAAACCGTATCGTCATTTGTAAATAATGCATCACATCAATCGGCTTTTCGTCCAGTGATTCGGAATTTGCAATCAACACCTTTGTTAGAAGTAGATTCAATAAAACAATATATGTCTTCTAAACATGATAATACAGATGACGAAGTTGATGTTGAAACAATGGAAGATGATAAAACCATATCTTCAATTAGAAAGATTTCAGATTTGAGTTCTAATTTGAACTTTCAAAATGGACAAGAAACATTACCAAAGTGTTGGAGTCCAGCTCGTGAAACAGTAAACCTTATATTTACTTCTTATTGAATAATTTAAGAAATTGTAAAATAGTTTTAAAAAGATTATAATAAATTATTAGTATAATTTATTATTGCTATCATTGTTAAATTCATTTTAATATTCTACTTTTGTAATTGTCTGGGATCAGACTAAAAGCCTCCCTGAGATGGTAGGTGGAGGCTTGCTGGCAAGTGAAAGGGACAATACAATAATTCAATACTGCCTTTAGAGTGTAGTGTCTTTCCCTTTATTGAACATAAATAATATAATAAATAGTTGGATAGCGAGCCTGATGTGAAGAGCGCGTGATCGGTAGTAGCAAGGGCGAGAGCGTCAAGCGCAGCTCCTTAAATATCCTAGTTATGAACTCGCAGTGGTAGTGGGAGATTCGCACAGATGAGGGGCAGTGATAGTGCCGCCTTTGCCGCTGTCGATGAGAGCTGTAGTGGCTTGAGTGGGGGGCGCCTATATGACGTCACTGATGCGGGGCAATGATGGTGCCGTGACGAGTGTCGCCCTGTAGGGGGGCAGCGATGGTGCCGCCTTTGCCGCTACCGATAAGAGCTGTAGAGGTCTGTGTGGGAGCACCTGTATGACGTCACTGATGAGGGGCAATGATGCCGTTGTCTAGCGACTTGCACGCTGTAGTGGTTTAGTGGAAGGAGGATATCCGTGTCACGTTACTGCTTGACGTGTATTAGTGATCCGTAAGAACGTGTGTAATAGCGTAGCTTACGAGTGCGGAGTCGATCTCAGTGCATTGATAGCACGTAAGAACGTGTGTAATAGCGTAACTTACGTGTGTTGAGGTCGATCCGTGTAGTGGCGTTAGAAGGCCGTGAGCTTGGCTTTCGTTGAATGTAGTCGATCTGTATAAGTTGGAGTCGATCTCTGTAGTGGTAGTAAGCCGATTACACTTGGCTTACGTATGAGTTGGAGTCGACTTGTAGGACGGCGATCCGATCTTGATGACTGCTTGATTGAACTAGTAAGAGGTTGAGAGCGTCAAGCGCTTCTCCTTAAATATTATAGTATAGGCTTGCGATTCCAATGAATTCTAGATTACTCTTGTCATGCTGATAGTCACTAGAATCTAGCTTTGGAGAGTTCGTCGGCCCTTGTTAATCGGAATTGTAATGTAATTTCGACTATTTGAGTATTGAAATTTCCCGATTTCGTAGAATCGTGTTTACGATTTGGCGCGCAATATTTTGACCTAAGCAGGTGTCTTTACCTCTCCCACTTTGTTTACCGCGTAAAATGCTGCAATCCGTAACATTTCGCCCGCCATCATCAATTCATTGATGATTGATATTCGTGTCTTCGATGGGAACTGGCAGAGGTGCAAGAATATCAATTGGTCTTGAGATTATCGAGGAGGCGGTTTTTAGTGTTATGACTCTAGTCAGTCCATCCTCTCCTGGATGCAGTTTCATGACTCTGGCGAGTGGCCACTTGCATTGTGGTTGTCGTTGATCTGTGATGAGGACTAGATCCGACTTTGATCGTGTTGCTTGGGTGATGCCACTTGGAGGTTGAGAGGAATTGCTGTAGGTAATGTTTTTTCCATTGCTTCCAGAATTTTTGGACTCGTTGTTGGATGAATTGCCACTTTGATATCATCGATGCGTTAGGATCACTTGCTGATGGGTCTGGCAGCATTGGATAGCCGAATGAGCTTGGCTTTCGTCGAGCTGAAATCGATCCGTACAGCGTTGGAAGGCCGAATGAGCTTGTCAGCTCCGATGAACGTTGTTCCACAGTCAGAGTGCATGACCTGTGTGCTGCCCTTGCGACTTGTAAACCTTCAGTATGCTGCAATGAATCCCTTTGCCGAATAATCACCTACCACTTCAACGTGTACTGCGGAGGTTGTGAGGCACACAAATACACAAATCCAGGCCTTGTAAGTTTTTGCTCCTGGACCCTTCCAAATTTTTTTTGGTAGTGGGACCAGCGTAATCTACTCCAGTGTGAGTGAATGGTCGCGATGGTGTTACTCTTGAGGGTGGCAATTGTCCCATTTGTTGGCTAGCGAGAGTTCCTCCTTGTTTCGCACAAGTAACGCATCGTAGAATGTATGATTTTACCGCTGATCTTCCTCCAATGATCCAGTCATGTTGTCGGGTGTATGAAAGTGTAATTTGAGTGCTTCCATGAAGTGTGCTGAGATGTGCTTGTTCGATTATGAGGTTCGTGAGTTGTGATTGTTTAGGGAGAATGGCTGGGAGTTTTTTGTTTTCTGATATTGCTGCATTTGTTAGTCGTCCACCGACTCTTATGATTCCGTGTGCGTCTATGTAGGCGGTGAGTCGATGGAATGCGTGTGATCAGGTCAAGCTTGTTTTTTACATCGCTCGTAATTCTTGGGACAGGTATGCCTTTTGGGTCAGCCGTATCCACTGTGTTCTAGCCTAATTTAATTCATCGTGTGTAAGCTGATTTGTAGAAGGGCGTTTTCCCTTTAGGCATACGATGAATCTGATGCATGTTGCCGTTATTCTCAGTAGCTCAGTCAACTTTGTTTACCGCGTAAAATGCTGCAATCCGTAACAGTAATATACTAATAATTTTATTTATTCTAGTATTATAAGTATTACTTTTTAATCTATTATTTTTCATTTGTTTTAGTTTTTTCTTACACAGAAAATAGTCTGTCAGCTACAGACTTTATATATAAATTGATTTGTTTAAAGAAATATAAAATTTTTCTAGATTTATTTTATAATTTATTTTGAATACTTAATTTTTAATTAGTCATGGTGATAATGATAACGCAATTACAATGTTTATTTTCTATTTTATTTTTATTAAATTATGTTTACTATATACAAATATACAACAAAATTTATTGATTTTTATTTTATGTATAACATATGATTTTTTACTCAAATATTGGTGATTCTTAAGTTGCCAGTAAAAATATTTTTTCAATAACAATAACAAGAAGATGAACTTTTTTCTACCGAAATTATACTTTTCCTATTTGATATTTAATTCATTATCTGCTAACTAAGTAATAAAATATTTAATACTAATGAAATAGCTGCACTCTCATTCACAAGATAAAAAATGCAAGAATAAATAAATATATAAATATATATATGCAGAGTTTGTTTATTGGCATTGAGTGCCTATCTTCAAAAAATCTATGTGAATTTTTATTTTTGTCAGTGATTCAAAAGTACTTATCCAGCTGAAAACAAGCTGTTCGATTTTAAAGGGTTAGCTTATGGCTCGAACTACCCATTCAATAGTTCAGTGGATTAGTCTCTCGGCAGGATAATTTTAAAGGAAATCAATAACGGACAAGGCTGAAAAATATAATATATTTATTTTAAAACAAGGTTTAATGAGTGTAAACAATTATAATAATATTGCACTGTTGTGTAGAAATAAATAATTCTGTTGGATTATTCAAAAGATGTGTTCTTGTAATTCTTATGCTATGAAAGCGTCTATGGATATTACTGTGTTGCTTTGAGGTTATGCTGATGTTGTCAATGTCAGCTGATGTCGTCAGTCAATCATGCTTGTGAGGCAGCATGAGAAGATGGTAGTTGAATCAAGTATGCTTGATTGATGAATAGCTATACTTGATGTGGTGTCAGATCTTAAATGGAATTTATTATGTAATCAATTATGTCTTTAATTATGTAAAGGGGACAGCAGTAGAATCTAGTCACAGGAAAAACAATTAGAAGTAGTATTTCTAATTCGTGGAGGATTTGATAATCCGTATCTGTAGAGTCTATTAGTCGATCTGTGTTGGTCATGTGTAACCAATGTGTGTGAACCACAGTGACTCTTGCGTCAGCTGTTCAGGGCCTGCACGGCTCCGAAGTGTTCTTCGGACGAGCGCTAGTGTGCCCTGTTTGTGCTAGCGGGCCTGTACGATGTCGAGGGATTTGTTCGACAGAGCGTAAGTGTGCCCAGGTTGTGCTAGCGGGCCTGTACGATGTCGAACGGTTAGTTCGAGAGAGCGTAAGTGTGCCCGATCGACAATAGCGAGAGATGTGACTTGTTTATTTATTAATATAAAGATGTACCTGGTGAACTGCAGGTTGGATGTATTCGATGCTGTGTATGTAATGTTCCCCTTGATTACAATTCCATTGGCTTCACTGTAATCACTTATTAAAGAATTGCCGATTATCTTTTCTATGCACGCGGGTACTCTTTACTATGCTGCCGAAAATATGGCCACGCGGCGTCTTTACAGTATACTTGCACTGACCGGCAGTTACGCTTGATGGAGAGCGAAGTGAACTTTACGAGTGAGC